ACATATATAATATATATATACATATGTATATATATATATATATTTATTGAATGAATGAACAACCTCATGCCAACACATAGGTGTGTATATGTGTTTTCTGTGACTGTTCTTCCAGCCTTGTAACCAAAGTATGGGCCAGAGTATACTACATGTGGTATAGGACTTACTGCTGACAAAGGATGGGAGCAGCCTCCCAAAGCGCATCAGAGGCTCCTCGTTGAGCTCCGTTGATTTGTCCACAAGTTTGAAGAAGACATCATTGGGCTCACTGGCAAAGCTGTACACCTCCTTGACATTTACCTTCCTGCCAATGCCCAGAACCACGAAGAAGTAACCCTTGCACTTGGCCTGCAGGATGACTCTCTGGGCCTCTTCCAGCTGCTGCCTCTGCATATCACCAGTCAGCATCAGCACCACAATTTTGAGGTCCCGTGGGTTTGGTGCACTTTCAAAGACGTTCTCTATAGTGTATTCAATGGCATTGCCCAGGGCCATGGTTCCCTGCAGCTGGGTCATCCTCCTGCTCAGGAAGTCTAGCAGCTTTTCCTTGGCACCATAGTCCGTCAGTGAGAATTCCACCTTCACAGGGGGCACACTAGCATTGTCCACAGACTCATAGGTTGCCTGCTGCACGACAGCCACTCTGGTAAAGTGCTGGGAGGCTTTGGGGTCTGGACTCAGGTCCAGCTGCCTGACCACATAACTTATGTACTTCTTCATCTCATTGAACTGGAACAGAGTGGTAGCCTCTGAGCTGTCCAAGATGAAAGCCAGGTCTATGTCCACATCACTGCCTGCTGCCCTCCGGTCCCTGAAGGAAGGCCTCCAGCTGCCAAATCCACAAGATGGGTCAATATTGCAAATGTCTAGGAAAAAAGCACAGTGGCATATTATCTCTTGGTTCCACGAAGCATCCTCACCTTCTGGGAGTCAGGTGACTACTCTCATCACATAAGACAGAAACTTTGCCGGGAAGGATGGTGCACATCTATAACCCTGGCACTTGGGAGTCTGAGGCAGCAGAATCACCAGGCTGAGGCAGCCTGGGATACATACTAAGACTATGCCTTACTGCCCTAATCATGGCCATATCTCAGTTTCTGTCCCCTCATTTCACTAGATGAAACTTGCCAATGACCTAAAGTCTTCGTAGTGCTCTGTGAAACTAAAGCACTCCTGTCACTTGCCATTCCTTTTAAAGACATGTGTTCTAAAAATACTTTTGAGCCAAACATGTAGGCTCTAGATTCCAAGATGAGAACATCCTTGCATGGCCTTTACATTAGTAAATATAACAAGGCTTCATCAACTAAGCTCGGCATCATCATTCTTCATCCATATGTCCCTCTGTGGTCATAACTTTAGTGGCTGTGGCTGGACAGATCCCCAAGCCCAGAAGAACAGCTTACCCAAGCAAACATGGCAGGTGAGGACATTCTTCAGGAAGTCTGTGAGGTCACCCCTTGCAGGTAGAACCAGGGCGTGTCCCACCGCTGTGTTATTGATCTAGTTCAGACAAGAGAAGATGTCGGGATGGACACAAGTGTATGGAACCATTATGCAAACGGGGAGTACAAAAGCAATGAGATAGCTTCCCCTTGGCCCAGCACCTTATTATCTGGACTCTGGGAACTTAGATAACTGTTTAGGCATTAAGTAAAGGATCTGGTACATCCCTGATAAATGGTGGGAGCTAAAATATTATGGTGGTGATTTTAGCAGTGGCAGAATCTAGCAAACACTGATCCATCCCTTCCCTGTTCCCTCCAGTGTAGACAGTGACAATGAGAATACCACTCCTAGGAGATACGAAAGGCCCCGCCTATCCTAGTGGCGGGCATGTGACATCCATGTAATTGGTCATGGATGTAATGAGTGAGGGCATTCCTGTCTGATCTATGGAAACCATAGGAATTTCACATGCTTGTGGGTCACTCAGCTCACACTAAGTAAGATGAACAAAAAAAGTTCCTTCATAAGAACTCATGGCCCAAGTTTAATGTTGAACTCCAAACCCAGTGTCTGACGCCAAGCCAGCCTACTTTGGCAGAATAAACCCTGAGGGATGCTGGCACTGATGGAGCTGTAGCTTGCTGACACAGGATGTGGTGATCTCATCTGGCAAGACACAAGAGTCCATATCACCCAGCCTCACTTCCCAAGAGAGACACTCAAGGAGACGCAGAGAGGGGTAACATGCCATGGCTGTAAGGCAGTGACAATGAGGACTAAGGACACCTAATTCTGGTCAGGGGCTCCCGGCCTTTGTATCTATCGTCCATGTGTCTTGACTGGTATCACTAGAAGTGGCTCTGAATGAGCACTACTTGTCAGTTACAATTAAACACCAAAGTGAGAATAGTGTGTGTCTTCTCCATAGGCTGGCCTAGAGGCCTAGCTAAGGAAAGGTTTTCACAGTGGTGGGGATCTTGAGGCCACTCACTGAGAGGCTTTTGGCCCCCATGACCAGCTCTGGGATAGTCTCCTCCAGAACAGAGTGGAGTGAGCTGTATCCAGTCCATGGGCCTCAGAGTCTGGTGGCCCAGCAGACTGAACTTGAGGCCCTCACTAACTCCAAGATCTTCTTATCCAATGAGTGGGGGTGAAAGTACAAAGCTTAGCATTGTGTTATAGGAAGCAAATGCCTACAACAGGGTCATATGAAACTCAAATTGAGCCATGTGGTGAAGAGCCAGAACTGTCCCCCTCTGGTGAGTGACAGAGTTCACCCACACCAACAACCTCTACTTGCCCAGTAAGGATGCATAGCCTTGCTACCTAGCCAGAACGATCAGCATGTGTGACGGGACCTGAGGGAGTAAGTCCAGTCCTCTGGATATTGCTCTAGTGCTGACGCCATAGGCTGTTCTGTTGACCCAGCCCCACTAGGATCTTTTAGAAGCCATAGAACACAAATCCTTCATGGAGAACATGGCATTCCAGAGAGCCTTCTCAGGAATAAGAGGGAGAGGTACCAAAGCATGGAGCACAGACCTGCAAGGCATTGGTGAGCGCTTGGTCCTCCTGGCTTGTAAGGAACAGGGGTGTGATCCCTGCATCTGAAAGCTTGAGCACAGCCTCCCGGAGCTGGGGGGTTGCTCTTGTGGGCTTATTGCTGAAGAAAACGGCCACTTTTCTCATCAGAAATCCACTCCTCACGCGTTTAAATGTGTTCCTGGCCACGAATGACATTGCAGTCTCCAGGCTCTGCTGCTTAGATGTCAAGGCCACTTGGAGATTCTGAATACTGTCTAACAGAGCAGACTTCTTCTTGGAGTCAGCAAACCGAATCTCTGTGGTCACCTCATTGTTATAGGTGACCACAGCCACTCGGGCACCCCTCGGACAGTTGCTCTCAGCAATGGTCAAATCTCCCACAATTCTCAGGAGCACGTCTCGCATCCGGCTGAAGGTGTCCTGAGTGACCCCCTCAGAGGTGTCCAAGGCAAAGGCAAGTTCTGTTGGGAATACAGGGCACTCCAGGGGCCCTGTGGGAAACGGGGGTTTCAGAGAACAAACTTTACTCACACAACGAAGCCTTCTGTCCTCAGAAGAATGTGAAATTACCGATACTCACCATAGCAACAAGCTACAAAGGAAACAAAGAGGAGAGACGATGGAAGTCAGGTCTGCTGGGCGAGTGTGAAAACATGATGTGCGTGCATAGGCAACAGAAGAGCGAATACTTACGGCATTTGTCTTTGATGTTTTGAATGAGGGCGCATTGCTTTGAAGGAAAATGAGAGTGTTAGAGAGAGCCGTTGACAGGTGAGTAAGACAACAGTTCACTCTGAACACTTGCTACTTACATCCACAGAGTCGCCTCGGTTGCCCTTGTGACCCTGTAAAACCAAGCAAGGACAGTCTGAGGGAAGGGGACAGGAGAGGGGAGTGGGAACACAATTGAATCATGAAATGTACACATATGAGAATGGCCTGCACAGTGACAATGTGCTAAGAATTATAATAAAGAGAAAAAGGAAAACAAAAGTTCACTCCTTGGCCATAGAAACATGATGGGAAGCAACGGACACTGCATAACCTTGAGCTTTTACAGCCCCTCTGCTAAATTAGATCCTATCTAAAAGTTCACTCCTTAGCCATAGGAACATGATGGGAAGCAATGGATACTGCATAACCTTGAGCTTTTACAGCCCCTCTGCTAAATTAGATCCTATCGTTTGAGTAAAGGAAGACACTTTTTTTTAAGACACAGTGTTCTCCCTAGGAAGCCAGCTGGCTTTGTAGAAGCACCCCTCACACCTGGAAGCTTGCTGTCCATCCGTGTAACTCATGAATCTAGCCACTTGGGCTTCTCTCAGTTGCTCTTGGCAACAAACAGCTTCTCCTGAGAACACAGCTTCCTCTCCTATGCATGTTCTACACAGCCTGGTCCCTGTGAAAAGTACCTCACCTCTGCAGGATTCTACCGTTGGGCTCTAGGGACAGACTCACAACTGCCCTCTGTGTTTTATCCCCATGTTTTGTCAACCTGATGGTCAAGCTTTGCTGGCTCCTTGACTGTCTTTTCCTAAAGCAGTTTCTCTTGGCTAATGACCTAAAATAACTGTGAGCCACCCCATTAAGTGTGTCAGTCCTTAGTCTTGCACCCATCACACCCACAGGCTCAGCCTTCTTCCCTTGTCTTCAAGCAACCCAATCCCTCAGAGTTTCCCCCTAGGAGTGCTTATCCAGCTGCTGGTTTATCTTGTCCGTTCTTCCTTGAACCTCATGAATTTCAATAGAGGAACACACTAAATAGTGGTATCAGTCACAAAGAGTCCTCCTGGGCCCTGGGGTTGGATTCTAAACAATGAGTCAGTGGCCCCCTTGCGAATTTTATACCCAACAGAAATGTTCCCCAAACCCAGATTTGGTCTAATTGTGCAACTTGTGCAGCTTCTACAAGATATAAGCAAATGTGTTGCGACTTGTTCTCTCTGAACAAGCCTAGAGTGAGAAATTATAAAGGCCATTATTATAATATTGTCTGGATCAAAGTGGCATACAAAACAAATTTATAGCTCATTGGTAGAGTGCTGCCTGGTATGAATGGGGCCTTGGGTTTAATTCCCAGTACAAGAAAACATTATTTGTTTTCTTGTTTATGGTTCTAGTAACAAATCCAGGATCGTGCTCATGACAGGCACGTGCTCTGTCACTCAGATACATTCCCAGGCCCCAGAACACATTTTTCAAAGTGTATTATTTCAAAACTTCAATGTACTTTTCTCCATCATGCTAT